GGGCTCCCTGTTAGGCGGGGAGCCTGCTTCTCTCTCTGCCTCTGCCTCTCTCTCTCTCTCTGTCTCTCATGAATAAATAAATAAAACATTAAAAATATATATATATAAATTTTGCCAGGGAACGTGGAACTTCCGCCACTGGCTTTGCGTGGACCTTCAGTCTTCCTGTGATCCCATCCCAACTTCTGCCTTGATTGTTCTATTCCAAGCAGGAGACACAAAATTAGACCAGGCTGTGTAGTTCATTCCCTGTTGGCTCAGCCTGTCATTCTGGACTCATCTCCAGACACACACACACACACACACACACACCCCCTCCAATCAGGCCACACTAAATCACTTGCTCAACATTTCCTGAATACTTCATGCGCTTGCTTGCTCCCTTCCTGTCTTTGATCCTGCTGTTATCCTTACTTGGAGTGTTCTTCTAGTCTGAGTTTGCCAGGCACACACCTGCTCATCCTTCAAGATTCAGCTCATATGTCATCTCCTCCCTGTTGGTGTCATTGGTCCCCTCATCATTGCCTATGCTCCCCACCCTTTCATGGGTGTTCATGGAGAGAAATAGACCATCACTCCCAGTTAGTGTATATGTGCCAGCTTTGTGCTGAGGCTGTGTTATTATTTCACATCTCAGTATACTGAGAAAATGATGCACTTGTACTTCGGTGCCCTGGGGAAACTGGAGAGGTTTGGAGCCCTAGCAAGACTGTCCAGAGCAGGTTCCAACTGTCTCCCCATGCTCCCAGGATGAAGCAGATCACTGCCTCCTGGAGAAGTATGTAAAGGTGCATTGACTTTTTCCCACACAAACCCCAAGAGGAAAGTTCATACTGGATCCTCATGGTACAGACGTAGACCCGAGCCTCAGATGGGCTGAGCAGATGCTTGACACACCACTGGAGAAGAATTAAGTGGAGGCCACTTCCAATATTCTTATTAAAAAGAAATTAATGTGCCCAAACTTTGATAAATTGTAAACTCTTTCTTTCTCTTCTCATTCTAAATTTATGTATTTTCAAATGTAAGAATATTATTAGCCTTACAAGATAATTGTGAAGTTGGTTCTCTTGCCCCACATCCCACCCAGGTCTCTGTACCTCGCATCTTTTCCATTATAGTGCTACAGTTATAAAACTATTGAACCAACATGGATATATTATTACTAGTTAAATTCCATACTTTGTTCAGCCCTCCATACTTTTTACCTAATGTTCTTTATGTAATCATTAATAGACTTTATTTTGAAGAGTAGTTTTTGGTTCCCAGCAAAATTCCCAGAGAATTACCATATATATACCCTGTCTCTCTCTGACACAGCTACTCACAGTCAACATCCTCCATTGCAGTGGTACAATCATTATAGTTGATGAACTTTTCTTGACACATTATAATTACCCAAACTCCACAGTTTCCATAATAGTTCACTGTTGGTGTACAGTCTATGTATTTTGACAAATGTATAATGACATAGTTCCACAATTATAGCATCATACAGAGTAGTTTCACTGCCCTAAATATCCTCTGTGTGCCATGTATTTATCCCCCCTCCACCCAATCTCTGGTAATCCCCAATCTTTTTATTGTCTTCATAGTTTTGCCTTTCATGAATTTCATGTAGTTGGAATCATACAGAATTTATTCTTCTCAGATTGGCTTCTTTCACTCAGTAATATGATTTTAAGTTTCCACCATGTCTTTTCATGGCTTGATAGCTCATTTCTTTTTAGCACAGAATAATACTCCATTTTCTGGATGTAGCACAGTTTATCCATTCACCTACTAAAGAATATACCAGTTTCTTCCATATGTTTTGGCAATTATGAATAAAGCTGTTATAAACTTTCATGTGGAGATTTGGATGCAAACATAAGTTTTCATCTCCTAATGGATGATCCCAGCCAAGATTCCACATGACATTTAGTACCCATGACTCTTCCACTAAGTGCCTCTCGCCTGTGATGTTTCCCAGATGTTCCTTGTTTCTGATGACCTTGAGAGTTTTCAGGAGGACTGGGCAGGTGTTTTGAGACTGTCTCCCTTTTGGAGTTTGCCTGGTGTTTTTCTCATGACCAGATTGAGGTTATGTCATTCTTCTCTTCATCAAAGATTTAAATGATGGATGTCAGGTTTCCATTGGGGGTTACATAAAGTCTAAACAGAATTGGTGAGCACCTACCGGTTAAGACAGTGCATGTCTTATGCAACCTGGTCGGTGGCAGTTGATTGCAAGTTGAAAAGCTGATTTTATTTTTTACTCTTATGTGTTTGTTACTACAATATTGTTCCTTGACCTCGGGGGCTGGCACCTGCAGGTACAGTCACTGTTCTATCACTGGGTGAGATTTTGTTCTGAGCTGAGGCTTAACCATGCAGTAATACTTGGCCAAAATTGGTAGAAAACTAGTCCTTTCCTCAACAGTAACCTCACGTTCAGACAAAATGCTGAGTTGCTACATCAAAGTGATATTAATTTGTTGGGTCAAATCATGTGCTTTGAAAACTTATTCGTTGTCAGAAAAGGAGGAAATTGGCTAAACATCAGCTGAAATCTAATTAGGTGACAAAGCCATTCATCTTAAACCTACTGAACAGTACTGGCATTCCAAATTTAAAATGCTCATTAGTCATACGATTTCAGAATTCCCATTCAGCAAATCATATGATGCATACTGCTAAAATTTTACTTTAGAAAAATAAGAGACAGGAAAGAGTTGATGGGATACATTCAGTATGAATGCAAATTGAAAATCTATTAAAGTTTAGCTATCTTAATGGAATGCCCTATGTCACACCCCATAATATTGGACCCATTTTGTTTGGAGCCATGTGCAAA